TCCTCAGCTTGTCTCTGATGCTGAGCTTTCGAATTGTTCAGACTCTGAGCCACCTACTGATTTAAGCGCGAATTAGGTGTTAATGTCTACACTTCAGCAATATTAGGTCATGCATTAATATGTAATGTCTGTGTTAGAGTAAGTGTTTCCATAATGAGTTGGTCAGATTGTCTGGCTAATATTTTTCTGTCTAATTGTATATTAGGTCATGCATTAATATGTAATGTCTGTGTTAGAGTAAGTGTTTCCGTAATGAGTTGGTCAGATTGTCTGGCTAATATTTGTCTATCTAACTGTTATGTTTATCTATGTATTGTGTGTTCAGTTCATGGTGTCCACAATGTATTGTTGTTCGGGACTTATGTTTGTACTACTTATGTATTTTTATGGGAGACTTATGTGTTTTTTCCTCAAGGTTTTATGAATTACATTATCAGCTTCTAACCCAAAACAAAGACAACAGAAAAAAATATATATTATTTACATGAAAACGGCTTTAGTAAAGCCAAAACAAAATTTTGAATAACACATTCTAACCCAAAACAAAGAGAAGAGAAAAAAAATAAAAAATAAAAAACTTTACATGAAAATGGCTTTAGTAAAGTGAAAAAAAATTTTTGAATTACATTATCACCTTCTAACCCAAAATAAAGACAAAAGAAAAAATATATATATTTAAATGAAAACAGATTTATTAAAGCCCAAACAAATTACTGAATAACACCTTCTAACGCAAAACAAAGAAATAATAATTACAAAAAAATTGACATCAAAACGGCTTTACTAAAGCTCAAAAAATTTATCAATTACATTATTACCTTCTAACCCAAAACAAACACAAGGAAAAACAAAAGAAATTTACTTTAGTCAAACAAAATAAAAAAATGCTGAATTACACATTCTAACCCAAAATAAAGACAAAAGGAAAGAAAAAAAAATTAATATGAGAACGGTTTTAGTAAAAGAATTTTAACCAAAAAAATTATTCTGAAACATATTATCACCAAAACAATGACAACATAAACAAAAGAACGAAAATTTTTTCTTTAAAGTTCAGTAAAATTGAAATTAAAAAAAAAAAATTACACTAAAAGCACGGTTCATAAAAAAATTTAGCAAAAAACCATGGTTCTAAAGAGTGAGATGAATTTTTTTTTCATAAAATGCGGGTTTTGATGAACTCGTGGTTAAAGACAAAAGGAAAGAAAAAAAAATTAATATGAGAACGGTTTTAGTAAAAGAATTTTAACCAAAAAAATTATTCTGAAATATATTATCACCAAAACAATGACAACATAAACAAAAGAACGAAAATTTTTTCTTTAAAGTTCAGTAAAATTGAAATTAAAAAAAAAATACGCGAAAAGCGCGGTTCATAAAAAAATTTGGCAAAAAACCGTGGTTCTAAAGAGTGAGATGAAATTTTTTTTTCATAAAACGTGGGTTTTGATGAACTCGTGGTTAAAGACAAAAGGAAAGAAAAAAAAATTAATATGAGAACGGTTTTAGTAAAAGAATTTTAACAAAAAAAATTATTCTGAAATATATTATCACCAAAACAATGACAACATAAACAAAAGAACGGAATTTTTTTCTTTAAAGTTCAGTAAAATTGAAATTAAAAAAAAAATTATACTAAAAGCACGGTTCATAAAAAAATTTGGCAAAAAACCGTGGTTCTAAAGAGTGAGATGAAATTTTTTTTTCATAAAACGTGGGTTTTGATGAACTCGTGGTTAAAGACAAAAGGAAAGAAAAAAAAATTAATATGAGAACGGTTTTAGTAAAAGAATTTTAACAAAAAAAATTATTCTGAAATATATTATCACCAAAACAATGACAACATAAACAAAAGAACGAAAATTTTTTCTTTAAAGTTTAGTAAAATTGAAATTTTAAAAAAAAATTACGCTAAAAGCACGGTTCATAAAAAAATTTGGCAAAAAATCGTGGTTCTAAAGAGTGAGATGAAATTTTTTTTTCATAAAACGTGGGTTTTGATGAACTCGTGGTTAAAGACAAATGGAAAGAAAAAAAAAATTAATATGAGAACGGTTTTAGTAAAAGAATTTTAACCAAAAAAATTATTCTGAAATATCTTATTACCAAAACAATGACAACATAAACAAAAGAACAAAAATTTTTTCTTTAAAGTTCAGTAAAATTGAAATTAAAAAAAAAATTACGCTAAAAGCACGGTTCATAAAAAAATTTGGCAAAAAACCGTGGTTCTAAAGAGTGAGATGAATTTTTTTTTTCATAAAACGTGGGTTTTGATGAACTCGTGGTTACAAAGAGCGATTTCATTAGAAATTTTTTTTTGATAAACTCGTGCTTACGAACAGCGAGTTCACCTTTCTGATAAACTCGTGTTTTGGAAAAGCGATTTTCAGCATGAAATCGTGCTTGTAAAAAGTGAGTTCAAAGGAAAGAAATTTAATCAAACTCACGTTTTCTAACAGCGAGTTCTTAATTAAACTCGCTTTTCCTAACAGTGAGTTTAAACTTTTGCTGATTTCAGGCGACACGGATGGAAAAGTGTTGAACTCGCGATTGTGAACCGCGAGTTAGCTCATTTTGGGAATTCTTTCAAAACTAGGCTTAGTTTGGGAATTCCCTTCTTATTTTGGCTTATTTAGGGAAATGCCCCGAAATACAAACAAGATTATTATTCTTCTTTGAAGGTAAATGATCTAAAACTCATTAATTTTTATATTGTCAGTGATTGAAATTTTGTTTAGTTATTTTTTTTTTCATATAAATTCTGTAAGTGTTAAAGAGTCTCTAATTTGTAATTGTAGTTTAATTTTGTTCATTATTAGTATAAATTTATTTTTTCCATATTGCTTTGATCTTACGTAAATGATCTAAAACTCATTCATTTTTATATTCTCAATGATTGAAATTTTGTTTAGTTATTTTTTTTTACCATATAAATTCTGTAAGTGTTTAAGAGTCTTTAATTTATAATTGTAATTTAATTTTGTTCATTATTAGTATAAATTTATTTTTGCACATTACTTGACAACTTTATACTATTCAGGACTAACAACTTTTTGAAGGGTTGCACCATCAACATTCTTCTATGGTAAATGTTTTTTGTTTGTTTATTTATTTTTTTAAAGTATAAACTTTGTAATTATTTAGTAAAAAAAATGGTATTTATTTATTATTTATTATTTACGTTTATTAATAAGCAGTTTAGAACTAATACTTTCCCAATGGGAAATTCACATTTCCATTTTGTTGATCATGATGATTAAAAAAAAAACAAATAAAAAAATTATAAATGTACACATTATAATGTGAATTTTAAGCTCATATTTTATGAATTTTTTTCATTTTTTCCACCATATAAAAGTTCAATCTAAATAATAATAATAATAATAATAATAATAATAATAATAATAATAATAATAAATTGTATACATTATGATGTAGATTTTTTTCATTTTTTTTTTCATTTTTCCCACCATGTGAGAATTTTGTAGGTCCTGAATTTTTTTGGGGGGATGACCTGTTGTCGGGTTATTATATTTTTTGCAAGTTGCTTTATAATATTTTGTTATTTAGAACTAATAACTTTTCAAGGAGTTGTTTAACAATCAATTTTCTTCTCCTGTAAGTGTTCTATTAGTGTCTATTTGTTTATTTATTTATTTTTTTTTGAAAGTATAAATTTTGTAATTGTTTAGTAAAAAAATTGTATTCGTTTATTATTTATTTTTTTATGTTCATTAATTAGTTGTTTAGAGCTAATAAAAAAATCACATTTCCATTTTGTTGATCATGTTGATTAAAAAAAAAAATGTATATACATTATACATTATAATGTGGATTGTATGCTCATATTTTAATGATTTTTTTCTTCATTTTTTCCGTTATATAAAAGTTCAATCTAAATTACAAATAAAATAACAAAAAATGTATACATTATGATGTAGATTTTAGGCTCATATTTTTATGATTTTTTTTAAAAAAAAAATTTCAACCATATAAAAGTTCAATCTAAATTTAAAAAAAAAAAAAAAAACATGTATACATTATTGTTTGATTTAGTTGAATGTGGATTTTAGACTTATATTTTTATGAAAAACTTTTTTCATTTTTTTCACCAAATAAAGTTCAATCTAAATTAGAAATAGAAATATATATATATATATATACACACCATGATGTGGATTCTAGACTCATATTTTTATGAAAAACTGTGTGATGTGGATTCTAGACTCATATTTTTATGAAAAACTATGTGAATTTTAGACTCATATTTTTATGAGAAATTTATTTATAAAAACCACCCTATGAAAGTTCAATCTAAATTACAAATAAAATATATATATACATTATGATATGGATTTTAGTCTCATATATATTTTTATTTTTTATTTTTCCCACCATATAAAAGTTCGATCTAAGTGATAATTTATGCCCTCATCATCATGTAAGTTTCTAACTTTTTTGTTTCGTTTATAAAAACTTCAAAAATATTTAAACTTTGTATCTTCATACATAACGCAATTAGCCAATTACAAAAGCAAAGTTATGCTGCAATCTATTGATTAAAGTACATTTATTTTTGAATTTAATATAATTTAATTTTTTTTATGTTTATATAACAAACAAAAATAATACTAATTTTTTTATGTATCTTATATATTGGTTGCAGGATTTGTAATTTCCACTCTCATGTCAATGCCAAATTGAGATGTTTTATGAATTCATAATGTATAGTTTTTTTTTTTTTTGGTAAAAATTAGGAAATATTATATATATTTTTAAAGATTTGTATATATTATATTGTACATATTTTATTTGAAATATATACCAAGTAAATATTATATTGCACATAATTAGAAATATTTAACTTGCATTACATTACATTTATAATACATATATAATTATTATAAAAAAAATATAATAAAAGAATAATATAATTTTTTTGTAAATTTGTACACCCATTATTAATAAAAAAACAATACAGGCGATAGACTCGTAACGGTTTCCTTTTTACGTGGAGGTGCAAACTAATTGAAGAAACCCACCCTCCTGTGATTGAATTGAATGTTGTTTGTTCATCTCTTCCAGAGCTGAAGGTGAAGAAGAGTCAATAATGGCGAAGTCGAGCGCAGATGACGAAGAGTTAAGGCGAGCCTGCGAGGCCGCCATCGAAGGCACCAAGCAGAAGATCGTATTGTCGATCCGCGTCGCCAAGAGCCGCGGCATGTGGGGCAAAACCGGCAAATTGGGCCGTGGTCACATGGCTAAACCTCGTGTTCTCGCCATTTCCAGTACGCATTCCATTCTCTCCTTTCTCTTTCGATGAGCTGAGTAATCTTTTCATGTGATCTAAGGCGATGTTTGTTTGGACATGAGCTTGTTTTGGATTAATAGTTCAATAAAATTATTAATCCAATATTTAGTTAAACAATTGAGGTTTGTCTGGATATGGTATCATATACGATGGACTATTCAATCCATAGAGGAGTGTGGTGGACTATTTAATACCACAGATGAGGTGAGATATAAATTGAAAGACTAAGCCAAAGTCTGGACTATTAGTTGTCTAACTCAATCCAAACATAAGATAAAATATACAATCAAAGGGATTCGTAGTTTTAGAACTATTCATCATAGGAATGCTAATCCAACCTAATCCAGTCTGTCTAAACAAACATGGCCTAAAATCAATTCTCAGTTAGTATTTATGCAACCAAGTTTAAATCTACACCATATATTTGAATGCTATGCACTTTTCTAGGTATTTTTCTGGGTATGTTAAATTTCTGTTAAATATAATGTTTAATTGGAGCATTTTGCTATAAAAGTGGCTGTATGACCAATGCGGAGAATGACAAGGAAAGATTTTGAAAAGATTCAATCATGTTTCCTTTAAAATCTGTGATCAGGCAAGTTAGAGATGACGGAAATGGTTTATACATTTAGAAATGGTTTATACATTTGTAAACGGATGACAAATTAATTGATGAGATGGGAATGTGAATTAATAGAGGCGGTAGAATGATGAGATTATGGAGCTGCAGTTGTGAACTGTGTGGAACTTGAAAGCATGGCTAATTTGTCCAGAACTATTTAACTCTTTGAGGTTTCAACAGCTATGACTCTCTCCTATGCTCTTTGGTAAAGGCTTATGCAAGACTGCTGCAAATATTAATGTTCTTCAATAATGAGTAATATGAATATAAAGTGTCTAGAGTCAAATTGACTCTAGGGCTGTGAGGGGAGTGAGAAGGGTCATTTGGTGTCCTTTCTAAGAAGGGCCTTTTCAGCATACTTTGTGACTTATATTGAGCTTCATTTTTTCAAGATATTTGCTGCAGTTTGGACAATAAAATATCTACCCAAGCAGAGCTCTAATGACCTTCATAAAATATTGTTTGTTTGACAATTTTGATGGTCATTTACTTTCATCGTTGTTGTTTGCTGCCTTGTCGTAGGTGTGACCAATACATTATTAGGGAGGAGAAAAAAAAAAAATGCTTTTGGTTAAATAAAGTTGAATACAATACAAAATTGTCAACAGTAAATGATAATTCCTACAACAACCACTTTATTGTCATCACTATTTTGTGTTTCCATCGTGACTATATGTAGTTCATGCAGCTAAATTAAAAGCTCAGCGCACCAAAGCTTTCCTTCGTGTCTTAAAGTACTCCAATGGAGGAGTTCTTGAGGTGATTCCTTATTATTATTATTATTATTAGGGGAAATTACAAAAAAAATAAAAAAATAAAAATAAAAAACCCTTAGGGTTTGACCCTTGTAACAATATAAACTGAGTTTTTAATTTTGTCAATTTAAACCCTAAACTTTTGATTTGTTTTCAATCTGAACCATCTGCCTATTTCTGTTAAGTAAAATTGATGAAAAAATGGATATTTTAGACATTTTATGTATACTTATATTGAGTTTAATGACTAAAATACTATTTTTTTCTCGGTTTTAGTTAATGAAAATAAGCAAATGGTTTAGATTGATAACAAATCAAAAGATTAGAGTTTAAATTGACAAAATTGAAAACTCAAGATTTATTTTGTTACAATGATTAAACCCTGTGATTTTTTTTGTTATTTTAATAGTCCCTTATTATTATTATTATTATTATTATTATTATTATTATTATTATTATTATTGTTATTATCAGTTCTATTGGTTGTTGGTTGTTCTTTCTATTTTGTATTCTGCATAATACCTCTGATGTTGCTTAAAAATTGTATTTAATAGCTGATATTTTCTTAAAACTTTCATTCCACCTGTAGCCTGCAAAATTGTATAAGCTGAAGCATCTTTCGAAAGTGGAGGTTGTAACTAATGACCCTAGTGGATGTACATTTATGCTGGTAATATTTCTTCACTTAAACAATCATAGGAAAGCTTGGCATTCCAAGATGATTTAAACTTTACCCTGTCATAGGGATGACATGCATTAAGCATATGTTCCTAGAACTTTTTGTAAATTGATTTTCAGTTTCTTCTTGAAAATGTATGAGTTATTTTCCTTACCCATCTTATTCGTCTAATCTTTTTTTCGGATGAACTTCCGTTAGGGGTTTGATAACCTTAGGAGCCAGAGTGTTGCACCTCCTCAGTGGACAATGCGCAATGTTGATGACAGGTAACATTACGGGAAACCTAGCACACTTCAGATATCTTGATGCTGTTATATATAACATATATGTATATATACTTTTTATAGTCTATCAGGTGGCTTCTATTTCTTATTTTATTTTATTTTCATGTTGTAGGAACCGTCTTGTATTTTGTATCTTAAACACTTGCAAAGACATTCTGGGTCATCTTCCCAAAGTTGTTGGTATAGATGTTGTGGAGATGGCTCTGTGGGCTAAGGTGCATATGATATTCCTTAGTTTTCTGCATTGGTATCTATACTGCTTTTGTCTCAAAATCTCATTATATGTGGTTTGCAAAAATTTAAGTTCTCTGTAGACTGTCATCTTTGAAGACCTTATGCAAGATGGGATTTATTTGGTGCTACTTTGACTCTATGTATTCACGTCAATGAAATTTGCTCACTCCTTAAGGAAACTAAATGTTTTCATCGCTCATGTATGTAGCTTAAAGGCCATAAGTGTTGGCCTACTAAGGTAGGGTGTTGAGAAGGGTAGACTAGGTATAAGACCTCACCTTTGACATTACTGGGTATTGGCACAAAGTGGCTGCCTTCTGATGTCAACTAAGCTCACACTTTGATATCCCAAGGTTTACATTATGCTGAGCACATATATGAGTGGTTCATACACCACATATGATTGCGGAACTTGTCATTGAAATATAGTTTGCCCTTTAGTTTAGTTATAAATCAATGTAGTGATAGCCTGACAATTTTCTTTCTTTGAAAAACCAACGAATCTATTAGCGCATTTATAGGTTAGTTATGTATGTGAGATTGAAGATGAAACCCTTTCTTGAAGCTAAGTTGTCTAACTTCAACATAATCGGCATTCCCAGTTAGAAGGATCTTGGGAGTAATTCATATGGTGGTTGTTTATGTAGTTTGTAATACTGCCTTGTTTGTCATTTTGAAGCTCTCGGCAAAGTAAGAAGTCATGGTGGAGGGCTTGTTATGTGATTCAGTTTTCTTTTTTATTATTATATATATATATATATATTTTTTTAATTTGGGACTTCCATTGGGGGGGTAATCCAAGAAATGAGGTGTTTTGATATCCAGTTGTGGAAAAGATAGGCAAAATGTTGGAGGGGTGGAGTAGGGCTTTACTTTCTAGAGGGGGTAGGTACACTTTAGTTAAGACTATTCTAAGTGGCATCCCAATTTACTTCTTGTATGTGTTTAAGATTCTAGTCAAGGTGGCAAGAGCTTTAGAAAAATTGATGCGGGATTTTTTATGGGAAGGGAAGGATGAAGGCAAGAAAGATCATTTGGTGAATTGGGAGTCAATTTTTTTTCCAAAAGAGAAGGGGGGTTTGGCCATCGGTAATATTGCAGCTAGGAACATGGCCCTACTTGGCAAGTGGTGTCACGACCCAAACTCGCCGTTATAGGTTTAGCATCGTAACCGACTAATAATCTTGGGATTACTGAAGGCCTTAGAACATATTTACAAAATAAGGGGCTAGCGGAAGCAATTATACAAACATATAATGTCCATAGAGCTGTGCAAACATATATGAGACAATAAAAATTTAAAACTTATATTCACATATATGTGACGTCATAATTATATCAGCCTTACGTCACCCAAAAGCGGATAGAACAAAACGGGACTTAGCCCTTTTATACAGTCTAAACAAAAGTCTTGTCCCAAAGAGAAAAAAGGTAAAACAGACACCACATGCACTTGACTTGGACGCTTGAACACTTAGGAACCTCTTCGGGAGGCACTATGGTTAGCTTGACAAAACAGAATTCCAGGCAATAGCTTAAGTCTGGTCCCACACCTGATCGCCTACATACATATATAATACAGTGAGCTGGAGCCCAGTGAATAATCAACAAAGTAAAGGGGTTTATGATTGATGTCTAAAATAGATTGAGATTCACATGCTCATACAAATTTCATAAGCAGTTATATGTGGCATATCCATTAGCTAGCAAATCAGATTGATCATAGAGACCCACGCGCATAGTCGGGTACCGACGACCATAAAGGTCAACATCTTTGTGCACATATAGTCATGGTATTGTTACCCCCAGGCGAGGGCCACGTGAACGTAGGCCTTGGTATTGTTATCCTCGGGCAAGGGCCATATAAACATGGACCGTGGTATTGTTACCCCCAGACAAGGGCCACGTGCATATTGGCCACGGTATTGTTACCCCCGGACGAGGGCCACATAAACGTAAGCCACGGTATTGTTACCCCCGAGCGAGGGCCACATGAACTAAGGTGCCACAAATACATTTTAGAAAAACTGGACGATCATTTATGATTCACAAATAGCATTTCATAAAACATATCGCATCATTTTACTTAGAAAATACTCATAATTAAATATAACTTTACAGAGTTGTTACTCATAGATAGCTCCGGTAACAAAATAGATCACTTGGACAGAACAGATCGATCAGGCGGGTGCTAACACGTTACCTACACAAACACGTGACAGATACACTTGAACATTTGCCCCAAAAGTGCTTAACTTATTGTTCTTCTCTCTTAGCGTGTGCTTCTAACTTTTATTCTCATTATTGTTACTTAATCATGGCCCAAAAGTGCTTAACTTATCGTTCTTCTCTCTTAGCGTGTGATTCTAACTTTTATCCTCATTATTGTTACTTAATCATGGCTTAAGAATGCCTTAGATGTAATGAGGATACAAGGATACACTTGGAAAACACTTATTAAATTTTTTGAAATAGGACAGTTCGCTTGAGCGTTATTTTGGTTGCTCGAGTGGACCCCTTGGTCTGTAAAACTTCTGGGAGCTCTCATTTTATGCTCGAGCACAACTTTGGTCGCTTGATCCAAGGCTAAAAAATAAGAGTGGTCGCTAGAGTGCAGGTTCTGATGCTCAAGCCAACCCTCAACTCTGCAAAGTACTAGGAGCTCGTCGCATTCTTCGCTCGAGCGTAGACTCTACCGTTTGAGCGAAGACTCTACCGCTTGAGTGAAGAGTACAGATTCTGGAATTTCTAAATTGCTCTCTAAGCTCCAAACTTCAATTCCAAAACACCAAAACATATTCTTTTAGGCTAAAACTTAAGAAAACACTTGCAAACTTGTAAAACATTATGAATTAGAGATCATTTCGCAAAATCAAGGCCCAAAAGCAAGTGAATTGTTCAAAGTCAAACTTGAAATTGTGAAAACATAACATATGAACTCAAACCTTCCAAAACACGATCAATTGAGATGCCTAGCACAAAAACATGTTGAATTCATAAAATATTGCCAAGATAAGAACATGCATGTGAGAATTCTTTGAAATCAAACTCAAATTACTCAAATTGTGATGAAATGGACATGCATGAATGGAATGCTCTTCTTTCTACCCTTCAAACTCAATTCTCATGTTAAAACACTTAAACCTCTTGAATTCATACATTACTTGACTCAATTACATAACTAAAGGGTTGAATTCTTACCTTAGGTGTTCAATTCCTTGAATTCTAGTGAGTTCTTGCTCAATTTCTCCAATTTCCCTTTAATTCTCTAGCAATTCCTCCAAATTTTCTCTTCACACTCTAGTTCTCCCTCTCTCACGGTTTTAGTATCAAAGATGATAAAATGAGGGTGTAGTGGGATAGTCTAGCATCAAATTAGCCTTATATAGGCTCATTTGGCATTAGTTAGTTAAGTTTAGTTAAGGCTAATCCATTGTTTTTATTTTATTTTAATTATTTGATTCCGAATCGAATTCTAATTAAATTTACCATAAAATTCTAAAAACTCTAAATAACCTATGTTACATGGACTCGGGTACGGGTGTCGGGTGCGGGTATGTATCTAGAGGTCGGACTCATCAAATCATAAATTTAAGGATACGCGGACTCGGCAAAAAAATGTCATATTTTTATATTTTTAATCTAATATGTGAGATAAAATGGTATTATATTTAACTTATAGTGTCAAAATGACATTTATAGCAATTATATAACAATATATACATATAATAATAGTGTTATATACAATTATATAAGAAGTATCCGTTGAAAAGTATCCGACACATATCCCATACCCTTGTCCGAGTGTCGGGTGTCCGACACGGGTATTTGATTTAATTTGAAGAGTCCATGTAACATAGCTTTTGACAGACAACTCAAACAAGTACGACTTAAAATGTTTATTGTACTTGTATTGCTTCTTTTCTGCCATACGAGAGGTGTAGATGAAATGCTTTGCTCTTCTGCCTTGCGATTCTGTCCTCTTTTGCTTGCCAATCATCTGAATCAGTTCTGCAGTAAATAGTTATGGATTTTATCGTGGTTACCTTGTCGTCAGTGATGATAAATTTATTTATGTTATGATCATAGCAGGGTGAAGAGGCATCAGCCTTGGCTTCAACTGAAGGTGCAAATGTGCTGGATAGGACTAATGATAAATCTATTCCAGAGTCCAATGCCCTGCCAGATTTGTTTGAAGAAAACTTCAAAGAACTAAAGAAATGGGTGGATGTGAAATCCTCCAAGTATGCCACTCTATTAGTGATACATGAGCGACGTTGTGGAAGGCTTGGAGATTTTTTGGGGTGCCACTTTGGTTCTCTCTCTATATTACTGTATTTGCATACTCCTTGAGGAAAATAGTCATTGTCACCAGTCGTGCATGTAGTTTAAAGTCCATTACGAAGTGTTGGCCTGCCAATGTATACTGTTGAGAGGGGCAGGCTAGGTATAGACCTCACACCTTTGACATTATTGGCAAAAAATGAATGCTCGAAGATTTCAACCTAAGTTCACACTTGACGGCTTGAGGTTTGCATTGCATCGAGTACATGTCTGTGGTTCGTATAACACATAAGATTGAGGGAGCATGCTATTAAAAAGTGTTTTTATAACTTGATTTGCCCTTTGTTTTAGTTGTGAAATTAAGTACATGATGGCCAGACAATTTTTTATCTTTGAAAAGCCTATGAACCTACTTATTCATTTATTTACGCATTTAGCTTTCTAACTTCAACATAAAATCTGCATTCCAAGTTAGATGGACCATAGCGGTAGTTCATATGTTAGTTGGTTATATAATTTGTTAGCTGTAGTTCATAAGTTGGTTATATGATTTGTCAGCTGTCGTTCATATGTTGGTTATATAATCTGTAATACTACCTCGTTTATCATTTCAAAGTTCTCTGTGAAGTAGAAAGTTGTGGTGGGGGACTTGTTTTGCAATTTAATTTAATTAATTTGTTTTTTGTTTATAAGTTTGTTAAATGACTAGTACCCTTAGGTTGTTGTTTCCAGTTTGTAGTTTTTATTTACTTTTGTCTTTTGTAGGAAAATACTCCCACAGTCACTAATCAGAGGACTCTTCAAGATGGGCCTGTTGCAGCTACTGAGACAGAAGGTGACTTGAAAGTGACTGTTGAAAAAGAACTTGTGTCTCAAGCTGAGGAGGAGGACATGGAGGCTCTATTAGGCACGTATGTATTTTTTCCTCAAAAATGTTTTAGAGTTCTAATTCTTGAACTTTAAAGTTAGTTCTAATGAGCTGATAGTGGATCTCACTAACTGCTATGATGTATGTTCCTTATTTTATTTTATTTTATTTTATTTTTCTACATGCCAACTCATTAGAGCGGCGGTTAGAGCAGCTCCTTTAGAGCTCAAAATCTCAATTGTTTTTTCCTTGTCCAGAGGGGCTTGGGATCCCCTATCCCATTGCTAATATGTTGCCACGTCAACATGTGTAAAAGTAATTATCTCTACTTGCACCACAGGATTAGCCCTTGTTAGGGGAAATCCCCTAAACCTAGCCTTCGAAAGTTATCGCTATGCTTAGTCCACCGTCGGCGGCATGGTGAAGGTAAAATAAGAGAATCATCAACTGCTGATTTGGTAGACAGAGTTTGATCGTCTCTGACGCAGTGATCTTGTTCAATATTTGCAACAAATATTTAATATTGCCGGGCTACCGAAATGCCCATCGTTTGATTGAAACTCATATTTTTCCTGTATTTAGTTTTTTTTTTTCTTTTTTTTCCCAGATCTTCACAATCTATATTTTGCCTCCAAATCATGGAATCAATGGAACAAAATGACGATTTAGTGGAAGAGAAATAGTATTGAACCTTTGTGTTAGTAATAGATTTGAAGATTTTTTTTTTTTGTAACTTTAGAAGATGAATCTATAAAGAATAAGGATGAAGGAACCAAGAACAGGGGGGAAAAGCTGGAAAAAATGGATTTTACGTAATAAAAGAAAAATGAACAACTCTTATGGAATGGTTCATATTCACATCGTTTTCTCTTCTTTTCCTAGAACCTGCAAAATGGCTTATTCATCGGCAGTTGCAGGGTTGCTGGTGGTGGTGGCATAGTCGAACCAGATCACTGTGCAACTTAGACCAGTACAAAACTCGGAAATAAGAATCCTGTGGTGTAAGTACAAAGATTTATTTTTGCACATGGTGACATGGCAACATATTAGCAATGGGACAGGGGATTGGGACAGAAAACTGGAACAGGTGATCCCAAGGTGTTCAGAAGGGGATTTGTATGCTTAAAGTTGTATACACAATATAATTAAGAATACGACACGGACCAAGCGGATATGTAAATTTACGAAAAATGTAGGACGCGACATATTGGGGACAAGTGTAAAAAATATAATTTTATATGTTTATTATATATCATATTTTTAAATGTTTAATATGTATTTTATGTTAAATATTTAATTTTATCAAATTTATCAACTTTGGGTATGTTATTTTAGTAAAAAAATTAAAAAATTTAATTTTTTTGAAAAAAATAATCCTCAGCGTGTCCTCATCGTGTCTCCAACGTGTTCTTAACGTGTCCCTACGCGTTCGCAGCGTGTCTGTAGCATGTCCCAAGTGTCCCAGCTTGTCCAACTCTTTCCAGCTTGTCCGACACATGTCCAGAGCGTTCGTGTCCGACACGTGTTGGACACTCATACATGACCTCCGAAGAGATGTCCGTGCTACATAGCAATATAATATGCAACTTGTTTGTGCTCTAGAGAGATGTCTATAGCATATCCCAAGTGTCCCAGCTTGTCCAACTCTTTCCAGCATGTCCGACACATGTCCAGAGCGTTCGTGTCCGACACGTGTTGGACACTCATACGTGACCTCTAGAGAGATGTCCGTGCTTCATAGCAATATAATATGCATATGTAAGAAAATAAAAATATAACTACAAATATGTGCATTCTTATATTTACTGTCCAAGATGCAGAACAATTTTCATTTTATGTGGTACACTTGAAAGAAAACTATGACATCAAGTTTCTTCTATGGCATATACAGTGCAAGAGTGAGATGAAGAGGATAAGCAAAGTAAAATAAATTTGATTGTTTAGAAATCAGCTACGCTGAGGTTCTTGAAGTTTCTCAATTTGAATTTTTTGCATCCAGTTTATAATGTGTTACAAGCCTACAGACTTTCCATGAATTATTTATTTATTTTTATAAAAATTAAAAATATTCTCTTACAGTGCCGAAGGAAAAATATTCACTTTTTCCTAACTCCCAACATTATTTCCCCAGAGACTCTTATGTTGTGAATTTTCTAAGTAAATAAAACCATATGAAGTTCTTTGTGCTTTTCTCTATATATTTTTTAATCAATTACATGAGTAGGTGAATAGTTCTTTGGTAGATCTTCTAGGCATAAAATCCAGTCTCATATTCTGAAAGCCTTTCCTTGTATCTTAATATTTGTGCAATTACTGCTGCCTGCTAAAATCCCATTGTATGACTCATAAGTTTAATAACACAATAATTATTGCAACTTTATATCAACTTTATTCTTGTAATAATGGTTACTAAAGTGATTTTCCTTTGGTCAGTTTTTCAGATCTTGTCAAATAAATTAGTCAATTAAGCTGCTCTATCAGAAAAACACTTCCAAGCCTAAACAGGAATTTCATCTTGTCCTACAAATTTATTTATTTATTTTTATTTTCAGTTTTTCAACCAAATTGATCCTCAAACACCTAAGAAGCTATTTTGTCCACTTTGTATTTACTTGATAAGCTAATGTCAATTCTCTCTTCAGCTTATATATATGGGTGTGTGTATATATATTTTTTCTAGAAGATTTTTTTTTATGTTTACTTTTCACTATTTTTCCTTCTTGCTAGTGGGAAAGTTAGGCCCAGAAGTTGAGTCAAATTTTCTATTGTTGAAATGAATGGATTCTTCTCATTATTCTTCTGTAATTTGTCTTACTCTTTGCTATTTCTATCATATCATTCTGGCTGTCATGTGTTGATGTTTTGCTGGAGATTTGAGCATGATGTTATTTGCAGGTATGTAATGGGTATTGGTGAAGCAGAGGCATTTTCTGAGCGGATGAAGCGAGAACTTCAAGCTTTGGAAGCAGCAAATGTGCATGCCATTTTGGAAAATGAGCCTTTGATCGACGAGGTAACCCTTGTGTAAGATGTGTAGATGATCTTAATATGAATTTAAGGCTCATATTTGGGAAAAGCTTATTATTCATCTTGTCCTTATTTCTTTTAAACCCCACTCCCCCTCTTACTTTTGTTGTTTTTGTTTTAGTAAAGATCCTGAAGAGGCTTTTCTAAATTAAAATGAGCCTTTCTATGGAAAGCTTATGTTCCAGGCTGCCAGCTGTATGGCATAAAATAAACATGTCATGCTTCACTATTCACTTTAATTCAGGGTCATCTCCGTTATATATGCACGTTTCAGAATTTACTCAGGAATCATTACAAACCTCTAAATGGTTTTCTGGAACCATTGGCTTCTATATGTACACTCTAAGAATTATTTCAGCGGTGTTGTGTGTAAGGCCACTATTTCAAGCAATTCTACCTTATTTATTATCCCTTAGGGCTACACTATAATGTTGCTCGGACCATTTTATGTTGAAGACCATAGGATCAGCTATCTTCTTGATACAAAAGGCAATGTTTGGTTGGTGATTTAAATGGAGAATTTTTACATAATCATTTTTTCCTTTTTTTTGTTGTCATCTTTAACTTTATTTTGGCTCTTTAATTGTTAATTTTTTGGTCCTTCAGGTGTTGCAGGGTCTTGAATCAGCCACAAATTGTGTTGAGGATATGGATGAATGGTTAGGCATTTTTAATGTAAAACTTAGACACATGAGAGAGGACATTGAGTCGGTAGGATCTCTGCTTACATTTCTGTGAAGTATTGTTTCTGTTGTGTTCCAATCAGACCCATATTTTTTATTGCAGTTATTATGATGCATATATGCTGCACATACATGTACAAAGACATTTTGTATCCACACATTATCTGATGTTTATGTTGTAACCACATATTATCTGCTGAATGCTACTTCCCTCTCCCCATATTTGAGCATTGAGATTTGAATTATCCAAATAGAAAGTCAATTTCATGCCTTTTTTTGTTTTGTTATTATGTTCTGATCCATACAAATGCTCTAATGGAACCCCCACCACTACACAAAAAAATAAAAATAAAATAAAATAAAATAAAAAATCTAATGGAGTTAGTCCTGAGAGAAACTCTTGTTTATTGCTTAATGAAAACTAATTCATTTGCTTGGTACTCACAGATTTCCCTAGATTTCAACATTATTTTCTCCAACGGTATATTACACTAGTCATTTTTCTAGTTTGTGTGTTCTTCGCGTGGTTTTATGCCTCCTGTTGGGAAATATTTGCAATTACTAAGGCATCTAAAATTTCGCAGCTTAAGTGCTTGACTATTCTTTTGTTGATCTGTAATTAAAATTCTTGTGATTTGCAGATAGAAACTCGCAATAACAAGCTGGAAATGCAATCTGTAAATAATAAAGCATTAATTGAGGAACTTGATAAGCTTCTTGAAAGATTGCGTGTGCCTTCTGAGGTGCCCTTGCATCAGTTCGGTTGTTGAAATTCACTGTTGGATTTGAGTTTGGTCTACTTATTCAATCTTTATACCTTTTGAACATGTATTGTTTGGTGCAGTATGCAGCTGGTCTCACAGGAGGGTCATTTGATGAGGCACACATGCATCAAAATATTGAATCGTGTGAGTGGTTAACTGGTGCTTTACGTGGTATCGAAGTCCCTAACTTGGATTCTAGCTATGCAAACATACGAGCTGTATGTCCCTTCTGTCTTTCTTGTTTCAGTTAAATTTCTGTCTGCTATGTGCTAAAGAAGATTTTCGATATAGAAATCTGGGACATGACATGGATGTACATGCATGTAGCTCCTAAGAATAAATCTTGTGTGCAGAGAGGATGTTGACCCATTTAATGTACTGGTTCAAACATGGGTTGAAGATATAAAATTCATAGATATAATGTATGCTATATAACTGGTTGCCTGTGTCCATAAATACATGTCTTGTAAGCACCAATGTATAATTTTATTGATTTAATATAGCATGCTTTTGTTGTACAAACATTAGACACAATTCCCTTCTACCCTCTCTTTTAATATGTCAGGTGAATTCCATGAATTGTTATTTTGACATTACAAGATTCTGATACTGTTGATCTTATACTAATAAAATGTTTTTACAAAACACACAGACAAAATGTTTTTTTTTTTTTTATCAAAAAAAATAATAAAATGTTTTTAGAATTTCAGCAGGCAAACCAGCCATTATGGCATTTTTTAAGTCATTGGTTGCTTTTATGAGCTGGATGTGTTAACAAATTGATCTCCATTTCAATTTAAATTTATTTTTTAATTGTTGTTGCTAATAAACATTGCATCTCATTTCTCCCTGTTTTCTGTTTGGGGTCTCCTTTGAAATCTCAGCATGTTGACTACCTGATTATTAATATCTGCTAGATGCTGAACTACCTGTTTGGGATCAGGAACTTCATGTCTTACATTCATGTTAGTGGTGTGACCTGGGAAGTACTTCTTCTTTGAGATTTTCATAACTTATCATGAGAAGTTGTTCTTCTTTTGAAGTGGATTGCAAATTTGCCTACTGTTGATGACAGTTTTGAGATATCATCTCCTAAAGCTAGCAGAAAACTTCTACAGGTTAAAGAGAAGCGGGCAGAACTTGAAAAATTAAAAACTACTTTTGTTCGTAGAGCATCTGAGTTCTTGAAAAACTACTTTACTAGTTTGGTGGATTTCATGATAAGTGACAAAAGTTACTTCTCTCAGGTATTTTCCAAGGGGGATGCTGTTTTATTCTTGGAAATTGTCTATCTTTGGAACAGGAATCCTGAATTTTGCTTGTTGGATTAAACAGCGGGGACAACTGAAGAGGCCTGATCATGCTGATCTTCGGTATAAATGCAGGACGTATGCTCGTCTTTTGCAGCACATGAAGGTCTAATTACAGAGCAGCTTCCTAATATCAACAATTATATTTAGTCTTTCATCTTCTTATTTACTTTTGTGTTTTTCTCAATGCCTGCTTTTCCTTTGCATTTGCAGAGTCTTGACAAGAATTGCCTAGGCCCCTTGAGAAAAGCTTACTGTACCTCCCTTAATTTGCTTCTACGCCGGGAGGTGTGGGAAAATATACCTCCATCGGATTTTTTATTTTTATTTTATGTGGATTTAGTGGGTTAGGTTTAGTGGAGTAGGTGATGTGGTAGTGGTGTAGTGGGTTAGGTTTAGTGGAGTAGGTTTAAGTGGGTGAAGTAGGTGGAGAGTAGGTGGATTTTAACACATAGTTACTCTATCTTTGTGTCTCATGCTCAGTATTCCATCTTTAAGTGGAGTTATTGCTCGTATTAACACATTCCATTATTTATTGTAAATTTTTAAGCTTAAAAACCCTTGAGACTAAAGAAAGTAACTGCATGTCTTCAGACTCTTTCTGGCATTGACATCTATTTGGTGATAAGGTTTTTATTTGGACAGCATTTGTTTCTACACTTCATATGTATAGTAAGGGGTTAGGGGCCCAATTTGCTCACTAGTGCTTTAGTTTTTAATAAGTATGTTTATGCTTTACCTTGAGACCCCAAGCTACTGCAAACTGTTACATGGACTCTTCTGAATGTATGCAGTACATTCGATACTTGGGTAAAGGTTATAGATGTGTCCAACATGTCTAGTTGGACATTCACCTAAAAAGCATATTTAGTATTTTGAGTTACTATATGCATAAAAGCTGCATATTTCTTTATGACACCATGTGAATGCGTAAAACCTGCATATTTCTGTATGACACCATGTGAATACCATTTTACCTTAGAAATTAGAATAAATATATTTCTGTATGACACCATGGGAGTTAGGTGAATCGGACACTTAGACATGCACTCGTACCCACACCTGACACCCATATCCGAGTCCAGGTAACATAGATTGCAGATGATATTATTAGTAAATTCATTCCTCCATGAAAATGGGTTGAAATGGTATTAGTATGGATACAACATCATACTTTAAATGTTGGAGCTGCATAGAAACCCCAAGATACAATTCTGTATTCTAAAAACTAATAATTCAATCATCCATGGACATTTTGAGCAATTTAAACCTGACATGTAAGTTTAATTTAGCAAATGTTCTATCTGTTCTCATGCTTTTGGTGAAATAGTTACCACAGTAAATATCTTCAAGCTCTAATAAATATGCTGAATGCTTTCATTCCTAAATATAAGATGTAAGAACAAAATCACTATTGAATTATGGAAGGTGCATGAATAGTCTCAAGTCAGGAAGTGGCATCACATGCTGCATGGTGAACTAGATCTAGGAAGGAATTGAACTGGGGATAGGTTTATTGATTTTGTTTGATAATGCTAACTGATATTTGGCATTCTTATTCTCTTTCTCTGTGTTCATAAATGTTCATAAAGATGCATATAAGTATTTATTCCAACTGCAGATCTTATAAATACAAATCTAAAACTCGCTACATATTTCATAGACTTGACTCTGTAAACCTTTCAACCATTTTACTCATGTGGTTTTACTGGCGCCCATATTTTTTGTTTAACCGGTAAATATGGCATTCTATATTGAAACTCCATTTACTTTCTTATGCTGAATTGTGTTGTTTGAATTTTCCCACTTCCCCAACATCTAATGTTCGTTGTTTTTGTATTCTCGTAAAGTTTTCTCATGATGGAAACATGAAGCATATATGCCATTAATTTGCTGAATTATATCTTCATTTCCTTCCCTTTATATGACATCTTTTAAGGATTTTTAGGTATTTTTTAATTTTATTCAATATATGGATAGTTAAAATGTAGCTTTATACAGCTACAATGTTATTATATCCAGACTACTCACGATTTGTTGACGAGACCAACTTAAACCATATAAACTGATGGTAGGTTGTTCCACTTGCTCTTTGGTGTCCTGTTGCTATGTAGGATTTGGTAAGCCTAAATTTGTAAGGCCTTGTTTGATTAACAGGATTAATAGTGAAAGGATTAATAATCCCATGAATAAGATTAGTTATCCAATTAAATTAGTGAGATAACCATTTATTATGTATTCGTTTGTTTGTTTTTTTTTTTTTTTTGAAATTATGATTCCCAGTCCCTGTCAATATTAAAAATTCGCCAATTTTGTCGGATTGAATATCCACTGTACATGTAATCCGGTTAGTAAAATTTGGCAATCAACATGGGATTGTGATTCCATGGATTAACAATCCCAATCCTATGCTATAATCCTACTAATCAAACATGCCCTAAGAGTATGTGCTATATGTAAATAATGCAGTGTCTGATTAAGTATGCCTTAGAAGATTTTCTGACAGTGAATCTATTAACAACTAAGGAATGTCAAGTTCAAAAGTCTGGTGTTTGAAATTTTTCTTAATTATCTACAGGCTCGTGAATTTTCAAATGAGCTTCGTGCTAGTACCAAAGCACCAAGAAATCCAACTGTATGGCTTGAAGGCTGCACAGGTTCCAGCCAAAGTGTGAACAATTCAGACACTTCCGCAGTTTCAGAGGCATATGCCAAAATTCTTACTATTTTTATCCCACTCCTTGTAGATGAGGTTGCGATGTTAATTTTCTACTCACTTTCTGGTACCCAAGTGATAGTTCTTTTTCTTTTTGTTGTGTCTAAACTTTAAGTTCTTCATTGCTCAAACTGCAGAGTTCTTTTTTCTCTCATTTCATGCGCTTTGAAGTTCCTGCAATTGCACCAACAGGAGGTGTTGGCGATGGTAACAATGTTGGATCCACTGATGATGATACCAATGATGATGATCTCGGTATCATGGACATTGATGACAATGACAGCAAAACTGGTAATCCTTTTCTAGATAGTTCTCATTGTTTTTATCGCTGTTAAAGTTTGTTTATCCCTGGTTATCACATATTGTAGGTAAAAATTCTTCAGAGCTGGCAGAACTAAATGAATCACTTCAGGAATTGCTTGACGGAATACAAGTAATGTTTATAGTATTATATATTATTGTGCATTTACTAATATCAGTTAATAGATTATCCAATTGGCTTTTGTTATGTAATTAGAAAAAAAATGCCTCCTTAGGGAGGTTTTTATAAATTTTATGGAGATGTAATATTATGCATATTTTAAATCAGTTTGCATTTGATTATGTCAACATTTCATGATGGAATTGCTCTGAAATTGCCTACAAAAAGTTACTTGTGAATAGTGGTATGGTTAAAACTCATCTCATCATAGTACTTTCTTATCCTCCTATAATTGATATGGTAACTGTAATTCATTACACAATGAATCTTTTCTTCTTCTTCCTCTTCTTTTTTATTTGTCAGTAAATTACATTGACCTCATCTTTTGAGATTTAGACAAAATACAGTAAATCTTACTACCTTTATTTTGGAATTTTTAAGAATCGGCACAATATATTTATTCTAGTACCCCTATATTTTCTTATAAATTATGTTTATATGTACCCATGCCGTACTCAAGCCATACCCACAACATACCCAACATTCAATTTTTTTTAGAAAGTACCAGATATGTATTTTGCATACCAGGTATGCGTGCAACCATATTAGTATGCATCCCTGTACCAAATTCATACCCGGTACTCGTTGCGTCATAATTTTTGGAAATATCACAAATTTGAGAGAACACTTGCAGTTCTCTTTAATCTTTACAGATTGAGCGATCCTATTTCTCTATAATTACCCAAAAAATCCTATCTGTATCAGTTAACCTTCTCTCTCTCTCTCTCTCTTGGTTATCTCTCTTTGTCGATTGACATTAAACTCTAGTTTATACCTTCAACTAGTTTAGCATTTGATTTTTGAATGTTATATATCATGCAATAGTATAAATTATAAAAGAAATATATAATTTTATGGGTGTACCCCGGCCATACCTGTATTCTACTATTTTTAAGTTTTGCCATATCGGTGTACCTGTATCGTCATCCATACCTGAGTCTATGCTTCATAGGTAAGTAGTTTAATTACTTCATTTAATGAAGAAATTAGTGTTTTGATGTGTGTAAATGCATGAATATTGTGTGAGATATTTGTCTTTGACACAACTAGGTGCACCTATTTTCGTAGTTTTCATAATTATCTAGATTGAGACAAACTTTATGGAGATGCACCTTTGAAATTTTGGATGTTTACTTCAAGTTTAGATGATGATACCAGGCCAAGACTTGCATCTCAACAGTAAGTTTAAGTTAAATCAAGTTCATTATCATTATCTGAATGTATGGTTCAATCTAATGGATCTTACAGGAGGAGAATTTATTATGTAATGGGAATAATTTAGAGTGAAGTCCTGATTTTATCATTCTGTTAAATCTCGTTAAGATCAATGACTTTGAATTGATTCGAGATTCATGTCAGGCAGGGTTGGTATTGTTGTCGGGATGGATATTTTAATTACTATTGGATGGTTTTTTAAGTTTTTTGCTATTGCTTAGCATCAGGCACCGGCTGTTTGCAAAGTGTAATTTAATCACTTTAGAAGTTACAACATTATTGACAATTTTTTTTCCCTTGAATCTTTAGGAAGATTTTTATGCTGTGGTTGATTGGGCATACAAGATTGATCCTTTGCGTTGCATATCTATGCATGGTACTACGGAACGATATATTTCTGGTCAAAAAGCTGATGCAGCAGGATTTGTGCGCATCTTGCTTGATGACCTCGAATCTAGAATTTCTACGCAGTTCAGCCGGGTGAGTTACATGCTTCTAGGCTGAATATTTATGACCATTTTCGTTTTTAAGTTGAATATGTTCACTCGCTTAAATGCGCACTATATTGCAGTTTGTTGAGGAAACTTGTCACCAGATTGAAAGAAATGAGCGAAATGTGCGGCAACTGGGTGTCTTGTCATATATACCAAGGTGAACATTATCTATTAGGTTTATGCTTCTGCTCGTTGCATTCTTTTCATGATTTAGGCGATTCTCATTTTGGTCAGCTGCACTGAAATAAGGGCAGACAATTTGGAACATACAATGAAAAACTATTATTTGAGAATTCTACAAATCAAAAGATATTATGTCAATTTGTCAGTTTTATAAGAAAATAATGAGGTGTACCTAGACTGTCCTATTGAAATGACCATAGCTTATTAGCTTCACATAGAGAATGTTATGGGTTGGCTTCTGTTTACTTTTTTCCGTTTGTATATTGTGTAAAATCAATAAGCAAAATGATTGAGAAGCTTGGTTAGTTCAAGATCAACCGTTAGATATATTAGTTAAAATTGAAGCATATAAAAGTTAAGAGAGAAAGAGAAGAGATTTGCCGGAATAGGAGGCTGAAAACCTAATTAGGTTTCTTACCTCACTAAACATATGTATTTATAGTAACAAGGGAATGGGTACAAAGACAATATTACTCTCAAGCACATAACTTAACCCTCCCTCTAAAGTTGGTGCATAGATGTATTTCATGTCCAACTTGGATACAATAGAATGAAACTGTCATGACCCGAACTCGCCCCTAGAGGTTTGGATCATAACTAGCCAGTAATCATGAGATTACCTACCCCCTTAGACAGAATACCCTACTCCCTTAGACAGAATACAGACATATTTAATAATGGGGGGCTGGGGCGGGGGGCAAAAGCGGAAGCAGATTAACAAATTTTGTCCAATGAGCTATGCATAAATGGCATAAACAGAACTTCACATATATTAATAACTCACACTCATACAAACATAATAAGATTCCATATGTCCAAGATCTTTCAAAAATCATTGTCATACTAAACCAAAACTTATGTACATATACAAGGTCAAACATGATCGATAAAGAAAACAAAAATTCAAAAGACAAAAGAACAAAAGCCTCGCTCGTGAGGCTCTCATAATAGACTTCACAAAACTTGGTTTCCTTCACAGGTTCACTAAGCCTGGGCTGGACATCCTACTATTCACCTATATACATATATATAATGAAGTGAGCGAAAACATCAGAGTAACCGGTTCATGTGAATGAGTTCTAGTAATTGACATAAGCATTTCTATATCATAAGCATTACATAATGGAATGACCTTGGGTCCAACAGATAGCAGAACGACCTTGGGTCCAACAGATGTACAGAATGGAATTGATCATATCATAACAGAATGACCTGGGTCCAATCATTTACAGCTGTATAATGACCATTCAGTCAACTCATAACAGATAATCAAACTTATCAGATGTTCAAAACGACATTGGGTCCATCTTGTCAAATGTACAGAACGACCTTGGGTTCATTTCAGTTATGCAGGACGACCTTGGGTTCAATTCAAATATACAGAACAACCTTGGGTCCATCATACGTATTCATGTCGCATTAACCACATTTACAGATATCATATTGATCAGACAGATAGGAACTCATTACTTTTGCAAAATTACAGTTTCAGAAAGTGTACCACAGTAGGATACACAAAAAATAGAGTAATTAAGAAAATATCTTTACTAAGATATTACTTACAGTGATTCGGTTGTTGACTTGTCCTTTCGGATGATCCTATACAATATATCAACATACACACGTTGAATTACATTGCTTAACCGGATTATTCTTTAACTTATTCAATTCTCTTAGGCTTCATTCTAATCCTTAAATTCATTGAGGATGTTCAATTCATGCCTAAGAATGCTCAGAAAGGAATGAGAATGCACACGTGATCAGAGTATGTCTTTTTAAAATTTGCTGAAACAAAGCACTTTGGTTGAGTGCAACATTGGTCGCTCGAGCGAACCACTTGGTCTGCAGAAGTACTGGATGGTCTGAATCTAGGCTCGATGTTCGCTCGAGCCAAGGAGCAAAATAATAGGCTGTCGCTCGAGCGATGACTTGGTCGCTCAAGCCAACTGTAATTGTTTGCAAAAATATTGGATGCGAGCAATGTGCGCTCGAGCGACAGATTGTTCGCTCGAGCGGTGAGACAGAATTCTGAAAATTCCAGAACAGAGTTGAGCTTCGAAGCTTGTATTTTCAAATCAATTTCTTGCATGGCTTGGCAAAACTTTGAAAACACTTAAAAAATCTTCCAAAAACATGAATACAAAGCCAATTCTCAAAAATCAAAGCTCAAGGCTTCAAGAATTCTTCATATAAAACTCAAATCTTCATGCACGTTGATTTTAAATTCCAAATTCTATTCCAAAGTTTCAAAAACATGCAATTCACTTTCAAAACCTTGTAATTCATGCATGCATGTACAATTCATCTTTCAAATTCAACATGGATGATTTAATTATGTTAAAAAATGGTGGAACTCAACCAAACTATGCATGCGTGTATGAATTGCCTCTAAATTCAACAATCTTAGCTTAATTCTTGTACTCAATGACATAATTCTCTTGAATTCACATATGAAATAACTTAGCTTCATGAATTAGGGTTCAAAAGCTTACCTAGGGTCTTCAATTGAGCTCAATTTAGCAAGTTCTTGAGTTGCTTCCTTAATTCTTCAATCCTTAAGCAAAATTCTTCAAATTGAAGCTCTTTCTCTCTCTACAATTGAACTCTCTCTCTCTCTCTCTACAATTGAACTCTCTCTCTCTCTGTCAGGCTTTCTCTTAGACTTTTGAGTGTAAGAATATGAGCCTAATCTCAATCATCAAGTATTTATAGGCCTAATTAGCTTAAGTTATCTAATCTTAGGCTTAATTTAATTGATTTTATCTAATTAATTTTGACTGAATGAAATTTTAATCAAACATTCTAATAGGTTCTAAAAATTATGTTGATCACAATCAATTAACCAATTTTGATTTCTGACGCCATTAAGGCATCCAATTTTCAGATCAAAGTAGAAATAATAACAGATTTTCCTACGATCGACAGATATAAAGTTAAAAACATATTAATGACATAGTTATCACTCAAATTCACACTGAGAACATAAGCACATGCACAATTAAGGAATTCAAAGCATAATATAGAATGGGGTTGTCACAAAAACACTTCATAACGCTTTGGTAAACATATCACCTACCTGATCCTTTGATGTGACAAGAGAAACAAATGATGTCATTATTCATTTTCTCCTTGATAAAATGCCTGTCAATCTCAATGTACTTAGTCCTATCATGCTGAACTGGAATTATGAGTAATGTTAATAGCAGCCTTATTATCACAATACAGTCACATAGAACCACCACTCAGCAATCCTAGGTCAGCCAATAAAACTTGTAGCCACATCAACTCACAAATGCCATACGTCGTGGCCTGATACTCCACTTCTGCACTCGATCTAGCAACAACTGACTGCTTCTTACTCTGCTAGGTCACCAAATTTCCTCCGACAAATGTACAATAGCCTGTGGTAAACCGGGTATCATCAATAGAACCAGCCCAATCTGCATCAGTGAAGGCCTCTAATCTTAAATGACCATGATTGGAGAACAAGATGCCTTTTCCATGCACTGATTTGAGATACCTTAAGATTAGATGAACTACATCCAAATGCCCCGTCTGAGGATCATGCATGTATTAACTAACAACGCTAACGGCATACACAATATTTGGCCTAGTATAAGAAAAATATATCAGTCTTCTCACAAGTCTTTGATACCTCTCCTTGTCCACATGATTTTCGTTACTAGTATTGAGCCGGTGATTAGCCTCAATGGGAGAATCAGCTGGTTTACATCCCAACATGCCTACTTCCTCAAGCAAGTCCAAGATATACTTTCTTTGAGAAATAAAGATGCCCTTATCTGATCTAGCAATCGTAATTCCAAGAAAGTATCATAAGGAACTGAGGTCTTTGATTTCAAAATCCCTAGAAAGCAAGGTTGTTAAAATTGGGATCCTACGTTGAATCGTTGGGGGTATTTACAGTATCGGATCAGATTGTAGAATCAGATCAAGGATCGTAAGATCCTACTGAAAAAGACAAATTACGTAATAATTTAAATTAAATAAATATTTCTTAAAAAGTATACACAAAATGAGCCTATATTTTATTAAAAGAAGTGAAGATATTGTGAAAAATATAATACTGTTAAAAAAATACTGTATTATTGATTGATATTTGATTGATATATTACAAGATTGATCAATTGATTGATATTTGATTGATATATTACAAGATTGATCAATTACAATTCCTATACAATCTATATATAGAAGAAAGAAGAAGAATTCTATAACAAAATACTTTACAATCTACAATAATGCATAAAAAGTGAAGAAAAAATATTTAACAAAGTTGGATATGAAAATAGATTAAGAACTCAAAATAGCGGCTAAACTGAATGATAAGGTTTGTCGTTGGCATCCTTGGTGGAGTGGATTCGAGTCACAAAAATAGTTTCTCCAAAAATTGGGATAAAGTTGCAATCATCTTGCCCTCCTTAGACTCTGCTAAAGCTAAGTTTATTTTTTCGACTAGTTAATTTTCTTAAATTACCACAATATTTAAATGTTTGTTTCCTAGTTTGTTTTTCTTAGTCTATTTGATTCAATACTACTTAATTTTTATTATTTATTTTGACCACATAAATTAGTATTTAGACAAAAAACATAAAATTTACAATAAAATATGTCATACAATACAAAACAAGGCTTGTAAATTGGATCGGATAGGATTGGATTTGGATCAGAATTCGGATTCCATGATCCTATAAGATCCCATTATCAGAATCGAGAGATCCTACCTATGAGAAATTTTTTACACGATCCAGATCGATTGTGCCCAAATGGATCATAAGATCGTAGGATCGTGAGATCCGGATTGGGATTCTAATAGCCATGCTGGAAAGTTGAGCCTTTACTCTAGACATTTTCTCTTCATCATTGCCTGTCACCACAATGTCATCCGCATAAACAATAAGGATAATGGTCTTGTCTCCACACCTTTTAATGAACAAGGTGTGATTTGCATGTCTT